CTCTAAGTGCGTCTCTCTCGCACGCATACGGATTATTACACTTTTTCTACTACCTATAACTATACTACCTTTAACTTATAACTATACTACCTATAAATGTTTTGAAAAACTCACAAAAATGGTGTCTAGATCCTGTACCTGTTAATAACAAATATTGAATTTAAAAGAAAACTATGAAGATACAAACGATGGAACGCAGTGTAGAGATACTAGAGACTATATTCTTTCGAAGGGGACTGATTGGAAAGAGGTACAAACGATACTTTCTTGAAGAACTTCAAAAATTGGTGTCTGAGCGTTGTACATGCTACTCACTTAACTAGAATTTCTATAGTTCCTGATAGGTTTTAATAATAGTTCTGCTACGTAACATCGCGACAATAGGAATTTTCCAAAAATTGAGGTGCTACATGGGTGTCAGCTCCAGCACTGCACTTTTTTAAAATCACTTGAAAATGGTTCAACAATAGGCGTTTTCAATAGCTCTCGAGGAGTTCTATTGTTCCAGATAGGGTTTAACAACAGTTCTGCTACGTAACATCGTTAAAATACCTATTAAGGATACTAGTCGCACCACATGCTTCAGTGCAGGTATGCATAAGGAGCTGGCTTTCAGTGTTGTTTTCAGGTTGTGTTTCAAACAGTTTCGGAATAATTCTCTCTAGTACTCAATGTTGGGACCATAGTTCCGCTTGGAACTATTGTTAAATAATGATGGAAGCTGGCACCGCATCGCTGTACTCCTTAACACAGGCAGGTTAATAGGTGCTGGCTTTTGTCTTAGTAAATCTTATCGAGCTTACACTGTACATTTAAATTTAAGATTACAAAGAAAAAGATTTAGACAATATCTGATAAGCGGTCTCTTTCTAAGGGTTGCTCTGGGATTCAGTTGTAAGTTGTGGAGAATCTATGCCCGCCAGGCTACCGGTTCGTGATCACGTTCAGCTCTGCTACGACGGGATATGCATTATCGACGGAGGCGATGATCACAAAATTCTATTCCCGGACTCGCCGCTACGATTTAGCGCTATGTTTTTGGTATCGCCTAAAACCGTAGCGTTGTGCATCTCCCTACTGATCTCGTTATGAAGAACATGAGAAGTCAGAGGAACTGAAAGCAGTTTAGAGACACGAGGTTGAGAAAGTCAGAACCAGTCAGAACGAGCGATCAGAATGTCAGCTGTTAAAGAGATAGTCAGTCTCACGGAAAAGATTTCGGAAATGGAAACTGAGGAAACCGGAAAAAAACTGACGCACAAAGAGAAGAAAAAGCTGAAGAAACAGCAAGAATATGAGAAGACTATGGAAATGCTGACGAAGACCGGTGGTCAGGGCCACAGTGAATTGGAGTCTAATTTCACTGTATCCCAAAGTATTAATCAAAGTCGTGGTGGTGCTCAACAGCTGGAGAGTGCTGTTGATATTAAAGTCGAAAATTTTAGTATTGCTGCCAAGGGAAAAGAATTGTTTACCAATGCCAGTCTTCTCATTGCACAGGGAAGAAGATATGGTCTGGTGGGACCCAATGGGTTCGTAAAAGAGACTTCTTTATACTTTAATATGAACCTTTATTATCTGTTTAATGTATCATTTTCATTCTTATAGCCATGGAAAAACTACTTTACTTCGCCATATTGCAAAGAGAGCCTTTGCTATTCCACCAAATATTGATGTACTTTACTGTGAACAGGAGGTGGTAGCAGATGACACTCCTGCGGTACAAGTTGTTCTCAATGCTGATGTTAAGTGTACAAACTTACTCGCTGAATGTAAAAAGCTAGAAGAACTCACCGAACAAGGTGATACCACTGTTCAAACAAGATTGCAGGAGGTGATCAATTGTAACCATAAGATTTCATTACATAGAACTTTCACACTATAATGTATAATTCATTGAAAATAATTATAGGTCTATGAAGAATTGAAGATCATTGGAGCAGATTCTGCTGAGCCACGAGCACGCAGAATTCTTGCTGGTCTGGGTTTCAGTCGTGCCATGCAGGACCGTGCAACCAAGAATTTTTCTGGCGGTTGGAGAATGCGTGTTTCCTTAGCCAGGGCTCTATTCCTGGAACCTACCTTACTTTTACTCGATGAACCGACGAATCACTTAGATCTTAATGCTGTTATTTGGTTGGATAATTATTTGCAAGCTTGGAAAAAGACATTATTAATAGTTTCCCACGATCAGAGTTTCCTCGATAACGTGTGTACGGAAATAATACACTTGGATCAGCAGAAGCTCTTCTATTATAAGGGCAACTATAGTATGTTCAAAAAGATGTACGAACAAAAGAGGAAAGAAATGATCAAGGCATATGAGAAACAAGAAAAGAGATTAAAGGATCTTAAGGCATCAGGACAAAGTAAAAAACAGGCGGAAAAGAAGCAAAAGGAGGCTCTGACGCGAAAACAAGAGAAAAACAGAACAAAAATACAAAAACAGGAAGACGATACTGGCCCGCAGGAACTTCTTCAGAAGCCCAGGGAGTACATAGTGAAGTTCAGCTTTCCTGATCCACCGCCACTGCAACCTCCCATTCTAGGCCTTCACAGTAAGTATCTATCCGATGAATAATGTCCACATTTCGGTATTACTTCAAACTTCTAATCACATATTATACAGACGTTACATTCGCTTACGAGGGCCAGAAACCATTATTCATCGACGTAGACTTTGGAATTGATCTAAGCTCCAGAATAGCCATTGTGGGACCTAATGGTGTTGGCAAATCTACTTTTTTGAAACTACTAACTGGAGAAGTATCACCGCTCAAAGGAGATCTCATTAAGAATCATCGACTGGTGAGATTATATATCTAGCATACTATATATTAATTGTATAGACCAATAAGTATCGATGCTACTGAAATATCTCAATGAAATTTACAGAGGATAGGGAAATTCGACCAACACTCAGGCGAGCATCTCACTGCAGAGGAGACTCCATCCGAATATCTGATGCGGCTATTTGATCTGCCTTATGAGAAGGCCAGAAAGCAACTAGGCACATTCGGTCTAAGCTCTCACGCTCACACGATCAAGATGAAGGATCTGTCCGGTGGTCAAAAGGCGCGCGTTGCATTGGCTGAGCTCTGCCTAAACGCACCGGATGTCGTTATTCTTGACGAACCAACCAATAATCTCGATATTGAATCCATCGATGCCCTGGCCGATGCCATCAACGAATACAATGGCGGAGTGATCATTGTTTCTCACGACGAACGTTTGATCAGAGATACTGAGTGTTGTCTCTATGTGATCGAGGATCAGCAGATTAATGAGATTGACGGTGACTTCGATGATTACAGGAAGGAATTGCTCGAAAGTCTCGGAGAAGTCGTGAACAATCCAAGTATAGCTGCCAATGCTGCGGTTCTTCAATGACCTACGACGATTCTGCTTTCCATCTAATATAAAATTCTTCGATAATCTGAAAGGTCATCAAGAGCCCCAATGTGCCCAGGATTTTATTATTCTGTACAACGAAAAGTTGCAGGCTTTCTTGGGATTTCGACTACGAATTTCAGATTGTGTTTATCTTGTATCATAGTTTTCGTCAAGTTCATTTCCTGGGGCAGCCATATAGAATTTTTTCGCATTCGAAACTCCCTACTTGTTAAGGCATACACGTATTGTATTTTCGGCGAAATTATATGATTGCAAGACTGTCCAGAGTGTAGATAATGTCGAAAACAATTAGGTACGAATGTTGGAGATTAAAGGCATTTTTATTTTACCCCGTCGTCTTCTTTCTCCAGATATTTTTCACATTTTAGTAATAACGATTCAGTGACGGTCGAGCACTTATAGGTTCAACGAACGTTTTTCATTCAATTTTTTTAAATTTCTGCTGCCACATAAGTGGTAGGTATCTTATTGTTAGATCGATACTAATATTTTCCATTGTCAAGTAGTTTTAATCTGTAAACGAAAAGTTTGAGTTTTTTGATTTCACTAAGCCAATTTGTCGTTATAACCTACGAAATAGAAGGATCAAGCAACTGTTACAATTCATCGAATATTAGATAATCTCGGCAGATAATTTATCAATCTTACTATTGGTCGAAATCTATTAGAAGACTAATCAGCTGACCTAAAAGTTAGCTGGAAGTTGCACAAACCAATCTACGCATGTCGCATGTTAGTTACGCGGGAACGGTAAGTTTGCTTCTATCGGCATCTCTGTTGTCGGTAGAAATTGCCAGAAATTTCCTACTTGATCTTTTAGTAAATGAAACGAATTAAAAGACTTTTATTGAATGAATTTTTTACTTATTCAAACTTGAAGCTGTAGAAAAAATGGAGTTAGATGATGTGCAGTGGATGAACAAATTTGCAGCCAGGGACAACATTATGTATGGTCCACATTCATACATACCAATAGTGCTGGAGGATATTCCAAAATATATAACTTTGCTGGATTATGAAGAAAATTGCATCAAAGATGTGCAAACAATTGGAAGTATACGTAATGAAGACACAACGTCACACTTATATCTTCAATCTATTACTTCAAATCTCAAGATGGAATTTCCCATAAGATTACGTGATAGAATTTATGAGCTGCCCTTGGATGAATTTCAATTTCAAGAACATACACCTTCAGTGGTGTGTACCACAAAAAAATAATTCTAAGATTCAATAGGATTAGGTTTTAAGTTCGCAATACTGATAACTGTCTCAATGGTTATAGGTTAAAGATGGAAGTATATTCAGAGTCTTTGGAACATTGCGTAACAGAAATGGGGTAGTTATGCTGGATCACTGTCAACTTGTAGCATTAGAACATCCTCTTGATAGCTTACAAGTGTTGTCACTGCAATCAAGACTGGCTCGGCGTCAATATAAGCAGTTTGTATAGTTAATGAAATTTGTAACAATGATTCCTAAAAGGCAAAGCAATTACACTTGTTTTCTTTTTTTTTTATGTTTTAGGTTCTACCGCACACCAAAATTAGATGAACTATTGCATTCTGAACTTGGCATAATGGACAGGCAAAAACATTGTTAAGAAAAGTGAAATGCAATTATGATTTCAGTGCAAGAAGGTTGAAACACATTTATATCGTTATCATACCTCCATCATATATGATCTACATAATTAGCTATAGGTGCATTGACTGATACTTTTTAATTCTTAATAAATGTGATTAAATATTTGTAGAGCAAAAGTACGGTAAATTTACTTGAAAGGGCATTAAAAGAAAGTAGTTTTACTACCGATCTGCGTTCGTCATAATGATACGATTTCATCTAAGCTTCATGTACAGAAGTAACAAGTTAACGTAAACTGCGCCCATAGATATGCGTGCTGATACGTGAATTTATTACGGAAGTGTTATTGCAATTACCATAATCAGCGAAACAACGAGTCATTTCATAAAATTTACTTGTAATAAATATTGACTCCAGTGTGCTAATGTCGCTGACTCGCTTCGTTACGATTGTACTTGCTGTTGCTAAAATGAATGAAGCAACTGACGGTGAAAGAAAAGTCATCGATCAACAGGAATTCCTACTTCTCAATATAGATTTTATTACTAAAGTGAATAGCTAATGCTTTGTCATTGTTCGCATGCAGACTGGAACAGTTGGAAACTATTGCAAAATTAGCTAAAGTAGCCTCACCAAGCCTCATTGATCCTGACAGCAGCTTGAAATTGGTGACTTTTCTAATTTGATCGAACTAATTTTTTTCGCTATCGTTTGTTGCCACGAGTGGTGCTGAAGCTATTTTTCTTCTTTCCTTTCCTTACGCCAGCAAATCACGGATTCTTGTTAGTTTTCCGATAGATAATAGGACGTAATTACGGATTTGCGATTGGCTGCGTAAGTTACGCGGTACACAAAGTACGCTCCATGGGGAATCATCCTGATCATCGAGGGACTAGTTGAAAAAAATTCTCTAGCTAAATTTGTTTTATTTCCAATTACAAGGAAAATATGAATTTTTCATTATAAGTAATAGACCATCAATCACCGACAAACGATTCTACATCGATTTATATAAAAGTCAATTGAAAATATGACTATAGAGGGGCTATTTGAAAAAATTTCCCTAGCCAAATTATGTTCTATAAATTTATATAAACAAATAACCGTCAAACGTTAGAATAGTCTGTCATTCACCGATAAACGAACAACAAACGATAGCGAAAAAAATTAGTTCGATCGGTCGTGATGAGGGCCTAACTATACGGAGCTCAAGTTTCGGAAAGTACGATTAGCTCCGCAGTGATGCGCGTAAGAGCTGGCGCAGTGGTCCTGCCAAAAATGGCAGAAGAGTGATGTGAAAATTATCAAATATATTGTGCGAAGTCGTATCTCTTGTGCATATTCGTCGTATCTAAGTGCCGTCACGATGTCGAGCACATTAGAGAACAAGATATTGAATTTGCAGGAAAGACTCAGGGCAGAGAACGAGTCGAGAGATAGAGACAGGCAGAGCAATGAGGTTGGCCCAGGTATGAGTCTACAGCCGTCATCCTCGGGTCCTGCCTCGAGTTCTGCCGTTAGAAGACCCAGACAACGTGAGCACGAAATTCTTGAGATCATAAGGAATTTTCGAATTTTTGCAAGAGTTCTCTTAAGCTTTTATATGCTCTTAAATTCCTTTTGATAACTTGTCTATAGGTTATGTTGACCGTCCTGTTATTTGCTGTTTGCCCCCTTATATTATTCTCATTTGATCATATCACAATATCATGATTTATGTTATTCTTATTTTATTATAAATTATCGTATTTAGTGGTTTCCAGTAATTTTGGCTTCATTAGATTTTTATTTTTACACTCATCACTATATGCTTGATATAGGATTTATTTTTATTAGTGCTAGTTTAGATATTTATATTATATCTATTTGCTTTCTTATTAAATTAGTTGGGCAAGTAAGTACACCAACACGGCCAAGAAAACAGTTGGATCTACCAGTCCTGCATATGTCACCACCAAAGATGCATGACAGTGAGTTTGAGTTAAAGTTACAAGAAATCATGAAAATGAATGGTATATTGAATATCAATGGGCAAAAGTATCAGACGGAAATGAAGGATTTAGAACATTTGGGGGAATTGGGCAATGGAACTTGTGGACATGTTGTTAAAATGAAACACAAACCCAGTGGGGTGGTTATCGCTGTGAAGCAAATGCGGCGGTCTGGAAATGCTGAAGAAAACAAAAGGATAATCATGGACTTGGATGTAGTGTTGAAGTCGCACGATTGTCCATACATTGTACAGTGCCTGGGGTGTTTTATCACTGAATCGGATGTGTGGATATGTATGGAATTAATGGCTACGTGTCTGGATAAATTACTAAAGAGAAGCAGGCAGGCGATACCCGAAGATTTCCTAGGAAAAGTCACCGTTGCGGTATGTCTAATAGGATTCTTGTTTTCATTTAAACGTGCAATTGAACTATATCTTTTAATTAGTGTTTCTCCAAATTGACAATGTACCCTAATCTTTTGACAATATAGACTGTTAAAGCACTCTCGTACCTAAAGGAGAAGCACGGAGTAATACACAGAGACGTTAAACCAAGCAACATCCTTCTAGACGAGATGGGCGGCGTTAAACTTTGTGATTTTGGAATATCCGGTAGATTGGTTGACAGCAAAGCGAAAACTAGAAGCGCCGGCTGCGCTGCGTATATGGCGGTGAGTATTTACATACAAGCGTAGACAGTATTTAGTTCGTATGACGATCCTCAAGAATACATTGTAACAGTTTAATCTATTCTCGCAGCCTGAACGGATCGATCCACCGGATCCCACAAAACCGGACTATGACATAAGAGCTGACGTATGGAGTCTGGGTATCACATTAGTTGAACTAGCTACAGGAGTATTTCCTTATCGAGACTGCAAGACTGATTTCGAGGTGAGAAATCCTCCTCGTTCATGGAGTCACCTAGAGGCCATCCGGTGGCAATCCGTGCACGCAATAAGAGTACAATTTGTACCGTAGGTGTTGAGCAGGGTAGTACAGGATGACCCACCCGCTCTTCCTTCAGATACACCGTTTTCCAAGGACTTTCGAAGTTTTGTCAGTTGTTGCCTTACCAAGAATTACAAGCATCGGCCCAAGTATCATAAACTCATGGAACATCCCTACATCAGAAAGTACGACATCCGACAGGACGATGAAACAAATTCCTCGCTCCCGACTTCCGGCTGTCAGTGGTTCGGCAGAGTCATGCGACAGCTGGAGCCAAGGTTGGTGCCTGCCATCTCTGCTTTACCTTTCTGTCTTCTTCTTTCTTTTTCAAGAACATATATTTGAAAGCAGTAACGTTGCACAGAGATACGTTTCTACGGAATAAGCACTGTTATCCTCGGGGACGCTATTGACACGCGATTTATCGTGTCGAGGTGCTCCACAGGACGAACGGCTCGTATAAAGAATTAATTAGAGATTTTTAAAACACGGCATGAGATTCCCGACTAATATAGTAATGTTTGGTTTGGTTTTAAAATAACTGGGTTATCGCGTTCCAACGGTAACAATTTTGAAGTCTTAACGCATTGGTAATGTCCACCGTGATCTCGATAGGTATTAAACAACTGTCGAGTCTAGGGAGGCTGTAGTTTTCCGAAACGAGAAAGAAAAGAGAGGAATTAATAGAAAAAGATAAAAGTACGGCTTCTACGCAGAGGACGAAGTACGTGTCTTCGTAGGACTCGTAACTCTCAGCAGAGGAGCCAACCAATTTCTTTCTCTTGGTTTGAAACTCGATTATAAACGTTTGCGTGCGTATTGCATTGTGTTGCAGCGTTGAGCTTGAGGGAGGCAGCGCAGCGTAGCATCCCCTCTCCCTCGTACTCGCCCCACTCTCCGCCTCCCCGAAAAAAAGTACCCGAAAATCCCAAAAAAGTTAAAAAAGAAAAATACCTCAAAAACATCCAAAAGTCTACCCGATTTTCGTTTCGAGTTGTTTGGTTTGTGCACGCGCCTGTTACACATCCCACCCTTCAACCCCCACTCATGGTAAGCATTCTTTTTTTTTTATTCATTTCAATATCTTTTTATGGGTCCTATTGCTGTTCTCACACTTACTTAGTAGCCACTTTGCCTGTTCGTTTGTTGACAACGTAACTATTATATATTCGTATTCGCACCGCATTGCGTTACGTCGTAGCTGAAATATCAGCCCCATTGTCGCCGATCGTACACATTACTCTTCTGCTCTCTTTTCTTTATTTTAATTTTACTTGTCTTCTTTGTTCTTTTCTATTTCACGTTGATTTCTCTGCGAATTTTCTCTTAATTCTCTAGGGCATGCGGCCACTAAATTCTATTCTTCATTTTACATTTCGAATGTGTTTATCGATTAGATTGTTCCGTTTGCGAATTCGTAGATAATACCTTCTTTCTCCCTATCTGTGTTGCATGAAATTTTGATTAACGTTTTAACTTTCACTAATCCATGATGTACGTAGGTATTACATAAGAGAGGATCGGACACACACTTTCAGGAAATCATTGAATCTCGGACGGACGATCGTGTTACCGTCCGAAAAGTCTCGACATTCTCACGAAGCTACCTCGTGGCCTTTCCCAATTCTATGTCCGACGATCCGGTTGCAGGTTAACTACAGGAGGTCAACAACGAGTTACGGGTCACGTGTCCTTGAAGCAGACTGCTCATCTGAGGACCCACTCCGAAATCCCGGCTTTCCTAAGATGCAGCGCCACCAAAGAGCCACAGAATTCCAGCTTCCTGCCGTTCCACCAGCGTTCCAGCAGCGAGAACGGCTCCAACTACGTTCCCTACAGTCCTTACGCTTTGCGACGGAAGGAAATCGTTAGGCCGTTCTCGCCACCTATTACCAAGGACTCTGGGGAGCTGGAACATCTCAACGTTCAGCGACAATTTTCGCCATATAGGCAGCACGTCGAGCAAACCAGGGACTTTGCATCGAACAGTTGTACAGCCAATGGCCAGAGTAAACCCGTAGGAAGACCCTTCTCTCCGTACAGGCAGGACTCCAATCTCGTGGAAGTCAGCAGTAGACCGTGGTCACCGTACCACGGTCGAGTCGAGGAACGCGACAGTAGCAGAGACCGGTGGCAGGGTATTTCACGGTCTCTGAGTCCCTTCGCCAGGGACTACTCACCTTGGCGACGGGAAAACGTAGACCCTCCGGGTGTCGTACCACCGCCTAGTGAGAGTGGTAGATATTCACCCTTTGTACAGCAACGTCTTGGACAACCTCCGCCAGTACCTCAGTCGCACCCGCAGGCCCAAGATATATACGGGAGTCCTATGGTTAGTCGTAAGAGGTAAGGAGATCCTGAAAGCATAGATATTGGTAGATTTTCATAAAAATTATGTAAAATGCTGATGAAAGTCTTTTGCTGGTACATAGATTTCCTTCCGAGCCTCCACCTCAAGGATCCCACGGTTCCACCAGTCCACAGTTGTTGATCTCCCGCTTTGCGCATCAGCTTAAGCAGGAACCACCGCCAATCATACCGCAGACTCAGGGTGGTTCCAAAGAATCCGCGAAGAAGCGGTTTGCCTCGTACGTTAGACTCAGACTCGGTAGCGAACGTGCTCCGTCGCCGGAGCCACCGCCGAGATTGAGTCGTGGCGAGTCTCCTCTGGTGCTTCGTAGAAACTTGGTGGACCAACCCTCGCCTTCGTTACCGAGAAGGTAACAACCTCACCGTATACTAATAATTTTATTGAAATATTGACGAACCAACAGCGGCAGAATGTGGATAAATTTTATAAAATTGTGCTCAGGTATGTCTCACCGTCACCACCCCAACCACCACCAAGAAGATTATCGGAGAGCAATTCTGTGCCAGGAAGTCCTCAGCACGTAAGAGCTCGTCTCCGCTACACCCCGGAACCACAAAGAAGGCCTCCACCACCATAACCCACCGCTACCAGCATAATATTTTGTTCCTCGTCGGTGCCATACTTGACCAAAAATAATTTCGTATCAACTTTCACAAAGCACCTGATTCACCTGAATCACTTGAATCACCTAGAGAAGTGTCCCACTTGACGCTCCCAGGGGGGAGTCTTCGTACCGAGCGTTCACGAACAGTGTGAAAGCAATGAAACTCAATACTCTCGCACTTGAGCACTTGAATCTCGTTACTCTCACTGTAACGCGATTATACGCTTAGCGTGTCAGCGTAGCAAGAGGTTCTTACACGCCTAGAAAATAATAGTTAATGGGGAAAGTCGCGCTCGAGGCCGCGAAGAAGGGATTTTCGTCCTCAGGAACGTTCATGCGTTCAGAAGTACCAATATACTTTTTGCAAGGATTTACGGGATCTACATGGGTCTCGCTGTTTTCGACGAGGATGCTCCTCCGTCGGCGCATATTTATATGGAATGCAATATGATGCTCAACTTTTATATCGCTTTGCAAAGGATCACGAGTGTTCTTTAACGGTTATCATAATTTTTAAATATGACATCAAAAAAGCGAATAACATGAACAGAATATACGTAGTAAAACGCACCATGTTTGCTACTATTGACGAAACTTTTCCTACGGTTCGTCAAGGATTCCTTTGGAAAGAGAGACTCCTCTGCTTCTCATTTTCGAGGAGCGAGCTTGTCGTGAGCTTTTCCTTTAGGAAGTAACTGTTCGCGTCATGCCTTTCGCGATTTCGACTGAATGTTGTATTTTCAAATTCTCGCCACTTTTTTATTATATTAAATAATAGAAAATTGTGGAGGGTAATACGTGCTCACTTGCTGTCAATGACCGACGCTTTATGCCTAGTATTTCCCAGATGAACTCCCAAGAGCCTTATTAACTCTACGATAAGCACAACCTAAAATTTAACTCGACGATTGCGTGGCTTTTTAAAGAATGTCGATCCCTCTCCTCTTCCATCCCCTAAATCGCTGCCTGTATCGCGCAATGACGCAATATGAATGATTGAATACACACCAAATTGCGCGAAGGTTGCTTTCATCACTGAGATAAAAGTGTTCTCCCCCCCTCCCCTCTCCTAATTTCCTCTTCCTTATTTTCTCCCCTTCTAAGAATGATACAAGCCCCAGCGCCTTTTTCTTCGTCCTAAACACTTTTAATGACTCTATATTATTTAAATGAGAGAAGTGCGCCAAGGCTGGCATGTTGTAATTATATTGTTTCGAATTATTCATTCATTAACTACGATCAGTCTACGCTCATCATTGGTCTTTTGTCAATTATTTGCCGAAAGGATCTGTTACAATGTAAATAAACTTAAACCTATAATAAAGGAAGAATTAGGAGAAGCAAAAAACCCTGTGAAGATCGAACAGCGATATCCCCAGTTTTTGCATTGCAACTATACGTTACTTAATACTATACTTTTGTTATATGATTATCTTTTGGGTGCCTTATCGTTCTACATTCTGCTTAAAATTATCATCGTATTATGGCGCTGTCTGCTCACGCCCGCATGATATTTTTCAGCTATGTAAAAGCTATATATTTCTATTGCCATTTTATAATTGAAACAAGTGCAGTAAGACTTAGAAAACGGCTTGGAATATCGTGAGTTCTCAACTTTGCAGTAAGCGTGAATAAGCAATAGTGCGTGTAAACTACCAGCTGCGATTTCGTGCATCTCCGTTCAGGTAGTTTCTAGTGGTTCCCAGGGAATCCTAAACCAATGAATGCCGATTCCTAAAATATCGTAGCCATTAAGGTCGAGCTTGGCCATAAAAATATTTCCGTGGTCGCACTGGGTCACGGGAGGCGACCGAGGAATGCATTATCTTTTTGTTTTTCAACTATAGGTGCGCAAGGCATCGGCGATTGTCGGCGATCGTGCCTCGCTGGCTCTTCGTGAGGAACAATATACGTAACCTCCTTGGCCACAGGAAACCGTTAAGGGATAGCAAGATTGCGAATATACCCTCCTTGGAACCGATGAGAATTGTGCCGGGATTCGCGAGTGATAAGGGCGCGCCCGAAGAGAGTTTCGAAAATAAATTCCTCGTTCGGATCGGCCCGTCCCTGAACAATCAATATGGCCTCCAGCTCAGCGCGCTTCACGCCAGCGTAGGCCAGCTTCTTCGAGGAATATCGTCAGGGAGCCCTCGTCTTCCTGGCGATTAATTAGCAGGATCACCGGAGGACGAGGCGCGGTGTATTATCCTGTAACTCGATCTTCTTTTTGCCTCACAATTAAGCCAGGAAGATACCTGGAACGTGTCGCATGATCACTGTGGTCAGTGCGGAAGACATCAGGCATCATACTCGGGTGTTCGTGGTGTCGTTGGTGCTGTTCTTCGTGTTTCATCCGGACAGGAGCAAGGTGATGCGACAGGATCCTCTACGTATTTCTGTTTTTGAGTAATCGGTGCCCAGTGAAACTTGTTATGTCAGAGGTGACGTGTAAGGACGTCGGAGTGCCCGAGGGTGGCCAAGAAGAGGGAGAAGATGAAGATATGGTGGCTAAGAACGTCGAGGAAAGGGTCAGCATACAGCAGATTCTTGAAGGCATGACCAATGAATTTAACAAGGGCATGAGTCCGGCGAAGGCACCGGAGAACGAGAAGGTCGACGGAAAGGGGGACAAGGTAGAAAAGAATTTCAAGGAACCAGAAAAGATTCTGATACCCGAGGAGGAGGTTGCAAAAGTCGTCGGGAATTCTGCCGAGGAGGAGGTTGAACAGGTTTCTGTGCCCACGACAGAAGCCCAGGAGGCTACACCAAATGAAAATCACAAGACAGAGGATAGCATCGAAAAGCTGGAACTTCCCAAGAAAGATGGTAATATACCACGTATAGTTCTGACTTTTAGAACCATCGATGAGAATACTGATCATGGTAGAAAGACTAAGATTTCTAGCTGTTCGTCCAACTTGACTCTAGTACCAGATGAACTTGCTAACTGCGATCAGATCGGTGGTGTGTCTGTGAAGATTGAGAATTCTGATGAAAACTCTGATGTAATAGAGAAATCCGATTCTGAAGAGGGTAGATCCGAGGAAGTTATGGTGGTAAGGGGACAGAAGAATATTAAGGAAGATGAGAGCTCTGCTTCAAAAGAAATATCCGAGGAAGGTGCCTCGGTGGAACAGAAAGAGTTCAGCGAACAAAGCTCCAGAAATGAGGATTCGGATCCTATTGCTGCTGATGTGGAAGTGAAATCACCACCACCACCAACTATTGTCACCAGGAACCGACGAACAGGACGCTCTCGACTTAGGGCGCTAAGGTTACTCTCTATAAGTATTTCCTAATATTTTAATCAAAAAGTTTTTAGTCGTTTTGAAAAACTGTAATTTTTTATTCTCAGTGATTCTACAGAGGAACATCCTGGACCTAAACGATCAGCAAGGCGACTATGTAAAGAATCATTGAAAAGTACAGTTCTTGAGAGTGCCATGGCCCGAAAGGAAAAGTCAAACTACACTGAAGTTCACCGCAAGTATCAAAGTCAAAGAAAGTACAATAAACCAGGTCGACCAAAGAAGTTGGTCACCAGTAAAGAACAATTAAAACAACTTCAAATAAAAGTATCGGATGTTCGCCACGAAATTGGTACCTACTTTAACGACGTGAACAGTACAAGCTCAGAATTAGACAGTTCAAAGAATGCCAGTGTAACGGAAATCAGTAGAAACGACTCCAACATGAGCGAGTCTCAGAGTACTACAATGGATTTCGATGGCATGCCAAAGTTGTCCCCAATAATGAAAAGTCCGGAAACCGTTCAGACAAAATTGAGCAACTCCATAATCAACAACAGTTCAAATGAGGAGATTAACGCAGACACGGAGAAACCGTTTTTGAAGCCAATCGCCGGCCGAACTAGAAGAGAACGAGGTCGACCAAGAGGTAGCACTGGTGCTCGTAAGCTAGCGAAAATGGATTCCTTTGAAGGTAATGTTAGTAATAAAATACAGATCCTTGATATGACCTATCTCTCATATTATATCGCTAGATTCAAAGTCAAACGCAGAATTTGTTCAACAGAAATAAATAAAATAAAACAGCTATCTAGGAAAATAAAACTCTTTGCAGACGGTTCTCCATCGATCGCAGAGACCGGAAGGAACAACGACTATCCCGAAGGTACATATTGCGATTATCATAGAGAGAATTCAAAATATGATTAAGACCCAATATGATAAGCCCAAGTTCTGACCTTTTGATATGTGTTGCAGAAGGAGCTGTACCAGCCAAAAGAACTCGAAGAAGTATGGCTCCAAGTCCGAGTCCAGCAGAAGGTCAAGCATCCAAGCCAGAATCAACGGCAATATTAAGTGAAGTATGTAGATAGAAACATAATTTTAAAAATGCAAAACTTTCGAATCTCTTAATCCCAAAACATTAAAGAATTTTTGGACTTGCAGGCCTATGGACCATCCTTACTCTGTTTGTGCCAAGTAAGATCTCAGCTGTACGTGACGATAACTGGTTCAGGAGCTCCTCTTTATTGTACAGCGATAGACTCCATCGATAACCGTGTAGTCGGTTGTTGCAACGAGGTAGACAGTAACGACGTGGCTATGCGAAGGCCCAGCACCCGGGTCCCATTTATAATCCTCTGTCGGATGCACAAGGAGAGACTGCTGCGTCACAATTGCTGTCCGTCTTGCGGTCTCTTCTGCGCTCAGGGCAGATTCGTGCAGTGTACAAATGGTCATCAATACCACAGAGAGTGCGAGATCTATCCAAACAAGAAAGCGGTGTGTCCACACTGCGGAAGCGAGAGCGCATCCTATGACGTGATGGTGAATATGTCAGGGATGAGAAAGCCAGTTTTCATTCCCACGCGGCGAAAATTCTCCAAGTTACCTTCGGCAAAGATGAGTCTTACGGGAAAGGGCGACAATACCAAGTTGGCAGGTAGACCGCCAAGTCCTCTGGTGAGACCTGAGACCATAAAGATTCCTGAACCCACGAGCAATCCTGACAGACCGGAGCGCTATACTATAATGAGCCTCTACACTTCAGTGAAGAACGGCGACCTGGAGAAGTTGGTGAATGTCCTAGGTGAGCGACCAATGAGCTTATTTTTGTTTGATCTAATTGTTCATAAACCGTGCATCCCTTAGCTTGTGGATACAATGCGAATCACTCCTTTCGGGATTATGCACTCCGCACGAGTCTTCACATAGCAGCTGATAAAGGACACTTGGCCTGCGTTCATGTCCTCGTGCAGGCTGGCGCTCAGGTCGACGTTATGGACAGGAACCAATTGACGCCGTTAATGCTAGCTGCTAGCAAGGGCAAGACGGAGGTGGTGAGGTACTTGGTGAGGATAGGAGCGGACGTGACTTTGAAGGGAGAGGATGGTATGACTGCACTACACATGGCAGCCAAGTCAGGACATTTGGATGTCTGTCAAATTATTTTGTCCGAATGTAAAGTTCCTCGGACGTTAGTTGGTAAGAAGCAAGGCCGGAGTAACTGTTTTGATTATTAAACATTTTTTTTGGATACATTAATATGCGAATATGCTTTTTTGGCAGATTCTGTGGACGATGGTGGCTGGACCAGCTTGATCTGGGCCTGCGAATTCTGTCACACTGATGTGGCAAGATTTCTTCTTGAGAAAAAATGTGATCCTCTCATCAGGGATGCCGAACAGAACATAGCCTTACACTGGAGCGCCTACAGTGGCAGTTCTGAGATTACTGAATTGTTACTTAGCGAAGGCTGTGACGTGAATGCCGTCAATGTCCACGGCGACACTCCATTGTTAGTAGATCCTTGACGTACGGTTGATGGTAAGCCTTTTCAATGGTAACTTTGTCATACTCACTCGGCGACACTTCTTAGGCATATAGCAGCTAGACAAGACCAGTATGCTGTGAGCGTTTTGCTATTGGCTCGTGGCGCTAAGGTCGGCGAATTAAATGCTGCCGGCGAGACAGCGGTAAATTGCTGCCCGTCGGATGGAGACACTATGGCAGCGCTTCGATTAAATGCAAAAGTCAACGAATTATCGGAACACATGTGGGAGAAGACTGTAAAAATTTTAACAAAGTGAGTATGCGCTAACTCATCCTACCTTCTGATATTTTGTAGGCCCTTATTAGGTGTTAATTGTACTGCTTGCTTCTAGTGACATCTCACGAGGTAAGGAGAGCAACCCCATTCAATGCGTCAATGGGTATGACTCTGAGGATAAACCTACGGACTTCCTCTACGTCACAGAGAATTGCTTCACCAGTAATATTAGTGTCGACCGCACGATAACGTCTTTGCAGTCATGCCGTTGCGAGGATAATTGCAGTTCAGAAAAATGTTTGTGTGGAAATATCAGTCTACGATGTTGGTACGATGAAGAAGGGAAGCTCATCCCTGAATTCAATTACGCCGGTATGCGTTTGTTGAAGCCAATACGCTATAAGTATTAATCGGTGCTGTTGATTATATTATGAACAGACGAAAAGACTTGTTGCTGATAAAGAATAAATGTTTTTTTTTTTGTTTCTTCTGGTTCAGATCCTCCCATGCTGTTCGAGTGCAATCAGGCCTGTGACTGTAATCGTATTACGTGCAACAATCGCGTGGTCCAGCACGGCTTGACTCAGAGATTTCAGTTATTCAGGACGAGTGGAAAGGGTTGGGGATTGAGAACACTGCGTCACATTCCTAAAGGAACATACGTCTGCGAGTATATCGGTGAGATAATATCTGATTCAGAGGCCGATCATCGAGAGGATGATTCCTATTTGTTCGATTTGGATAACAGAGTGAGTCTAATTTATTGGAGAAAACTATATCTCTAAGGAAAAATGTTTTCGACTTTCAACACTGCTAGTGGTTTTTTAAATGTTTTTAAAACTATTTAGGATGGCGAGACTTATTGTATAGATGCCAGACGCTATGGAAATCTTGCCCGTTTTATTAATCACTCGTGTGCGCCAAATCTACTTCCGGTACGCGTGTTTGTCGAGCACCAGGATCTGCACTTCCCGAGGATAGCGTTCTTCGCAAATCGCGACATCGAGGCTGACGAAGAGCTCGGGTACGTTAATCAATAGCGGTTTGAAAAAAATTCGCAATTTCACATAGGCGCCAGCATATCAACCTACGTTCCACACGACAATAATTCATATTGTTGGATATTGTTTCTTATATTAATAAAATCTTATCCCTTTGTTTGCTCTACTTTGGGTCGCCTTTGTCGCGTTGCAGAAAACTCATTGTAATTGCAAATAGCTTGAGAATTTCTCTTTGAAGTATCTTTTTCTTGCGCGTCACTTCTTGATGAGTTTTATAAGGAAGGTCTTATGAAAAATGAACGGTTCTCAGAAAATAGAATAAAGCACGGTATTCATATTGGAGTATAACGATCATTATCAGAGAAAAGCAATAAACTCGATTATAACAGTTACAATAAGAGATGTGAGAGACGCATAGAAAAGGTAAGTCCTCTACTCATTTTGCGATCATTCTGTCGAAGGATTGGCCAATAAAAGCCGGCTGACTTATAATACGGACGTTCTGCATCTTTGTCTTGTTATCTTCTCCGGTTCATCGCAATACGCTACTCTGTCCATGCGGAATCGACTTCCTGTCTTTATGTGTTTCCTTATTTTATAGTCTGCATATTTCTGCGCACCCGTGTCTCCCTACGAGCCGTACATAGATCAGCCCTGCCGAAGACGTCCAACACGTGATTCTCTGCTTTCAGCTTCGATTACGGGGAGAAATTCTGGATAATAAAGTGCAAGTCCTTCACGTGCACCTGCGGCGCTGAGAATTGCCGGTACTCCGAGAAGACGATACAAGTCACCCTGGATAATTATCGTCGGAGGATCCAGCAAGAAGAGATGCTTGCCACTCAATAGCCCTAATTACTTTGGAATGCAATTAGTTAATTCATAGTGCGTAAAGCCGATCTGGATCTTTATATTTTCTTTTTCCCTTTTTCCTAAATGTTTTTATCTTTCTCTGGACTCTGTCTCTTTCCTTCTGCGCGTCTCCTTGAGGAATTCCTCTGTACCAGAGATATAAGGTCAGATATTGCCTAGTTATCCTCTAGGTCCATTGACGTTAATTTCGGTATGCAAGTGCACTAATTGTTTTTCGATTCTCTTGAATTTATAAAAATTATTTTTATACGCCGTGGAGAAACTGCTTGGATATCAAAATTATCGGGACTTTCTAGTAAATTCAAAGTGGTGGCTGATCTAATGTCACTTCATACAAAATTAATAGTTTAAAGTGATGGGAGCCTAAATCTAATTGCGCAGTGCTCTTCATCAAATTGCAGCTAATAATTAAGTATCCTGTTTCCTTCTATTTGTCGCAATTACTTGTTAATACTTTTCTCTAGGTCCTTTGGCATACTCTTTTTCATCTCCGTTTCTTCTTGGGGATGACAGTACCTGTTCCCACCTCGACGAGGAGGATGAGGAGGAGCATGTGTGAATTTCCGAAATAGTTTTTAGCCAATTGTTAGGCATAATGTACATGATTGTTAATTGGAAATAGAAGAACGACGAGGAGTGGATGCGAGGCAGTTAGCCTAAATTTCATACATCAGGGTCATCATGCCAAGTAGATATCGAGCAAGGATGGGACGGCGGATTAGGAATGAAATTAAAATCATGTTTGTCGTTATGGATTTATTCATTCACGAGAATGTTCTTTTAGGCGATCGTTAATTAGTGTTCGACGGTACGACGTCAGTGCAAACTGCGTCAAAGATGTCGTACCGTGTATAGAACGTAAGGTCACACCATTTTGTACAAATGACAGCATTTTTGTATAATAAAAGTTGTAGTTCTTTTATACAACCACGAGTGGTAATTCGAGCCCTTCATGTAATTGGTCGAAGAGAATAATAAATGAAGACGGAGGTCGTTACACAGTGTAATAAATCGGCACCAATTTTGATCTTTATTGTATATCGAACTTTTATATAATAATACGGTTAATGTTCGACGTTTCAAAATAGCCATTGTTCTAAGGTCTAATCTCAGACACGAGATAAGTCCGAAGGGTTTATTTTCTGAAAGGAGGTAAATGGATGATCATTGGCTCTGTTCGGTATTGAAAACCTCGGTTTACTGGGACACTCGATAATATTCATCAACGGATTAAATCCTCTCACCGGATTTGAGCCCATTCAATAGGGCTACCTCAGGTGTTGAGGCATTTCGTTAAGAACAATCGAATCAAAAGTAAATTCAAGAAATTCTGTGAAGGATAGCGGATCACTGGATGCGGCAGAAAGAAATGCAAAGGACTGTATACATAAAACGAAAGGTGAGCAAGAACAGTACTTTAATTCTCCGAGTTAATTAACTCAATACACCTCTCTCTCGAGAAAGTTCGGTTATAAGATGACTACGTTCTCCCCCGGGTTTAAGTAAGGAGTTTTAAAAGAGTCAAGCGACGAATTATTCACGGCAGTATTGGTATCGGTTACAAAAGGTTTTCTTCTCTGTTATATCGTTAACATTTTTCCATATTTCCACAAGGAGGAATTGCTGCATTTGGCTGGAATATAATTGATTATTCCGTCAACTGTCATCAATTTATATTGCTGTGTTACTTCACATAAAACTAATATGTATAGGAAAACTTGGAGTAGTGACGTCATGCTAAGGGGATTCTCAAGCAGACGACTATTAAGGATCCATTTTGAAAATCTATTTCGTTGTTTTCCACTCGCTGGACTTGTTTCGTATTTTCAAATGTGCTGCGTGGTGTGCATACCTTTTATTTATAGTATATTGTACAAACGCCGTAGGAGTTGAAGAATTTTTTGTTCCAAAGGCATTCCTTTTCTACGCATAAAATGTATAATATTGCTCAGTCTCGCGAAGGAGTGCAGTCGCAGTCAGTTGGCGGAGAGGGTTGGGTGAAGCTGATGGTAGCATTCCAAAGCATACGTTATGACCAGTTGTGACATGTTATGATACGTGAAAAGCCGCCGTACAGTGTCAAAGAGCATTGCGTTCCAAAGTTGCGCATGTACCGGATGGCCGGCGATTGGTCGGGAGGTTACAGCGTTCGAAATTCAATTGAAAGCGGCAGTTAGTGTAGCGACCGCGAGGCGCTTGCAAGCGCTATGCGTAGCTGCGTAGAGCCGTAGTTGTTTTTGAGTGCGTGCAAGTGGTGTGCTTTTTGTTGTTCTTCCTCTTCTACTTTCTCTTTTTTTTCACCGGCATCGGAGAGAAGGTTCCGACAAGTTTTCTTGCTGTTCATCGCATCGTTATTAAATAATATATGTGATCCATTCGCTGTAGTTACACGAAGTCGCGTTGTCATGAGGCTTCTCCATTTTCATTTGAGTTATTTGTGCAGTTGTGAGTTGTGATGAGTGCATTGGAAGTGTTGCTGCGACACATCATCGATCTAGGGAATATTTAAGATGACCAGCTGACGGATAGATCTAACCTCTTGCTACGTAGCACCGTAGTGGGGCTAAACATACGAGAAACAGCGGAAGGTAAGTCTATTTAATCAATCGTTAAAATATTCTAGGCATCGACAAAATTCCCGTCTCATAAATTTGTATTATAAAATGAAGTATACTTGACGAAGTTGTCGAAATTGTCCTGTGGTTGGACAACTAAGTTATTACGCCTTCTACGCATAATGGTTCATTATGTTTCTTTACCAAATAAGTAGTTTTCTTGACGGCAAAGAGAGAGAAATCGCGTATCAAAATCTCAAAATGGATTTTTGCCAATCTTTCAAACGGTCCTCCAATTTTTCTTTCGACCTTCAAAGACTCTGTTGACACGACTGGTCATTTAACTTTTGCGGGTTTTTTCTCATTAGGAGAAAATAAATTTTAGAATTACAGAAATAGCGAGCGCTGTTTGATTTTTAGAAAAAAAAGTAATTTTTCTTAAGAGAAAACCATTGATATTTCACGTTATTACTGCTGTTACCACTTTCTTTCCTAAAGTAGTATTTCATACCTTTTTTTTTGATACGCTTGAAAATTCTTGGCTGGACTGATGTCGAATGAGTATTGAGCTTTTCCACACTATTTTGAATCAGTCGAAAAGAAAATTGCGTGGTGAGAAATATGTTGGAAAAATTCGATAAACGTGGATCTCTATCAAGTAATCGTGAGAAAAAATTATTATCCAATAAGGAGAAAAAAAAAACAGAAGAATCAGTTGGAAGTTGGAAAAAAGTAAGGGAAAAGAGAAATAACGTCTTCCGACTAGGTAGCTGTATGAGTAGCGAAAGAGAAGTAAAATTGAAAGACAAGAAAGAAAAAAAGCAAGTGAACTAAAAAGTCAAAATTCAATGGAAGAAGGCACGATGAAAATGCTAGGGTAAATTTCGCAAACGTAGTTGACCGGTCTTGTTTAACTGTCCCTACGTCAAGGGATTCGCTACCTCAGAGGTATATTCGTCTTTTTTCCTTTTTCTCTCCCTCTTTTATTTCACTCGAAATCAAATCAGCGTTTGCGTCTCGCTAATTACTGCGATCTAAATTACGCCGGGATGAGTCTACTCTGCTAATCAAGAGACTCCTTCCGAATAATTTTCCGCACGGATTGTACGAGGTGTAATTTATACGGCGCAAAATACACACGAGTCTCTTGTATGTACATGGAACCCATATAAAATCGAGCGATCGGACTTATGGTAATGAAGATGTATATCTCTTGTTGTTAAACATGAATAAAGAAGAGAAAAATGAAGACAGGACGTGGGGGTTTACTAGAGCTCCCGAAGAAAGACTTGATCTGTGTACTGGATTCCGAGTTTTAATATTATATGTGGCTTTCTAAGATACATAGATAAGCAATGCAGCAATGAAAGGTGACTTGAGGGCAGCGCGAAGATTCGTCACCCGCGAGCCTCCTCGCAGAATCCGCATGGCTGTGTCCGAGGTATTGGTCCCCTTGTATTGGTCCTTCTAAAAGACGCGTGTACATCTTGCGGGCAAATCCTTACTCTCCTTCGATTTGTGCCGAGGCGATCAATGTCTCGATACATCCTGTATAACGATCTGTACTAAAGTTTAGGAAAAGGGAGAAACCGTTACTCGTGTTTATGAAGATTTTTATGCGTAGCAGGGTACCGGAAGTATACCAATATACAGCCTTTCTCTGATATATTATTAGTATTATTACCTGCCAATCGTCGAATCAGTTTATAGCGAATAGTAAAAAGAAAGAGCTGCTATATAGATATAATGGCTGTCACACTATTCACATCGACCAGCAACTGCAAGGAGAGGTTACTTTTAACGTGCTGGTTTTACCCTTGTCAAGTTGGCCCCTCGTTACGCAAAGTAAAATAAAATAATTACAGTTCTATTTATATTATAATTATACTTAGAGAACACTTTCTGAAAAGTATCAGAAGCTCTAGAAGTCTTCGAATTTTCATAAAGACTTCATAAACATCACAGAGGAGCTGGTTTTTATATATTTCTTGAGTCCTCTGAAGAATGTTGACGGGTGCGTTGATGGTTGCGCGTAAACCATGAAAATCACGGAGGAAAAATGTTGCGTGACCGCGCACGCGGAAAATCCGGAAACGCTTTAAGCACTTCAACATATGAGAGACGCGGGTATGGAAGCTTGTGAGGTGCGAAGCGCACAGATGCACAATGGCTCTGCTATAGTTTCTCCGTAGACTCTATAGCTATATTATATGCATAAGCAAGACTCCGCTAAATGGTCAGGCTGGTGCCGGGCGGCGTCCACCCAACGACGTATCCGTGCCTCAGAGCACATATCGGGTGTCCGGATTGAAAGAGGCGACTGACGAATTCCAGCCACCTTACTTTCATCTTTCACTTGTTCTTTAAATGGTCTCTCTCTTTCTTTCTCTTTCTCTCGCCGCACGGCTGCAAGCGCTTCGACTCGAATTTTCAACTTCTGTTCCGGAGAATACACTGTGGCCGGCGGATGTACGCAATTTATCTTGGTCCACCCATCAGATTACATGTACCTGTACATGCGTTATATACATACTTGAAATGAATTCCGATTTGCATATATTGTGAAACCGATGAGCAGATATCACCAGGCACTTGACTAATAATACTGACCGATAGCGGTACCATTAATGACCTTTGTGGTGGGCACCACAGCAATTAGTAGATGATCTATAAACGTTGACGTATTTCCATTCGATAAATAAAGGAGAACAACGGCGCGTATTTAATGGCTTGCGAGCTTAAAGTGTCGGCGCGTTGAATTTGAAAATGCAATGTGACGAGTCGTGAAATTGCGTGTGAAATCAATACCCGCACTGGGAAATTGTAGCCCTGGATCAAATGGAAAACGGAAAACAGCTATCTCTCTGCCGAGTCAAAAAGCCGAAGCACAATGGCCGCGTGTTGACCTAACCTTCTCGCTTTTTTCTTTTTTTTTTTCTTGCTTTAAAACATTCCGCGCACGTGACGAATTTAAATGAACGGGAAGTCGCAAGATCTAACCGATCGACGGAGCTCCAGCCGTATAGTCACGTTACTGGGACACCGGTTTGATTGGATCAGCCGACAGGTTGGGTCGAATGTTGGGGAAGACGGGGGGGGGGGCACACTGAACACTGGCACCTAAGGGGTGTCTTTACAAATTTCCAGTATTTTTTCGTTGATACGTGAAAGGGGCCGCATTCAAGGAGATATCGATTCTAAGGTCTTTCTAGTCTTTGGACACCGGTTGTTCGTTTGCTTGCGTCTTCATTTCTTTTTCTCTTGATTCTATTCCTCTTTTCTTTCTTGGCTCTTTTATAATGGTGTCGCGCGCACAGGTGGATGTTGCTACGTGGGAATCGTTTCGAGGGGAAGTAGGAAGGGCAAGAAATACTGAACGAATGAAGCTGGACGAGGAGGAATGTGAGGGGAGATGCGAGAGAGAGAGAGAGAGAGAGAGAGAGGGAGAAGAAATGACTTGGCAAGCTTTCGTTGTGCGATTGAAAGATGTGAGACACCTCTGTGGCTTTATATGTTTTTGACACATGGTGGACACAACGCCAGCTTACTCTCGTATCTCGTGGGCCGTGGAAGAGCTTATCCAACTACGGAGCTATTCTACGAGAGCCTTATCCGACCTTGAGAGCCGTTATCGTATCCAAACGATTTATCTAATGTTCGGGAAAAAAAGCTACGACCTCGCTGAATAGGCTGTTACGACCCCCGCGGGAGAGTGTGGGAGCATTCGTCATGGCCCATGACCCAGAGAGAGTAAAGGCGCGAGAGTCCACCCAGGGAAAGGGAGAGCCGAGAACCATTACGATTTCGGACACCCAGTACGCGGCCCAGACACGCTTGTATATGTATATCTGCTTGATACCACACTGGCTAGTATAAGGCTTCAGCCCCAACATTGTAATCAACTCTTTGATGTCCAGAAGTCCAGTGTGCCGAGGACTAAATTGGCCTGCGAGACAGAGCTAGCTAGGAGTCAGAGAGAAATTCAGTCAGCTTCGAAGCTAGTGAGAGAGAGAGAGAGAGAGAGAGAGAGAGGACAGGGGTCGAAACGTCAAGGTAATGCCAAAGAGACCATTTGCGCACATGATGTCGCGTCATTTGAGGTGCGCATCTATGTAGTTTCGTAATAATATCGATAGCTGCTAATAACCGCTATCAATCGAACCACTGTGATTTCCTTTGAAGCCTCAAAATAGAAATATCGTATCGACTTCTGACGCTCAAAAGGATGAAGCTCAAACCCATTAGCCTGGAATCTGAAAGAAAGTAAAAACACGCGAGAGTCACTGACGACGTCCCCCCCCCTTACTTCTCTTGTTTTTCTCAGCTGCCCAGCCAGCTAATCCCTTTCTTTCTTTTAAAAAGTTGTCTGGTCCTCTTGATCCTATTCTCCCACACAGCATCCTTCCACTGCTCGATTCCGGCAAAACAAAAGATTGTCCGACTCGCACACTATAGCCTATATAGTCTAGAGAGACGGGGAAGGTACCGTAGATCCCTCTAGTTTGGCGTCTCTCGACCGGCGCTCCCTACTGTTGCTCCTCGGGACGCAACCTGTTGGCCACCCTCGGCTCTTGCGAGGCGTCGGAGCGCGCGGATCTCTCGTGCTGCTGCTGATGGGCTCGATGGGCTCGATGGGCTCGATGGGCTCGATGGGGCTGGTACTTTGTTGCTTTCTGTATCGCTACTGAAAGAAAGAAACAGAAAATAAGACAAGAAGACAACCAGGGGAAGAGACGGGACGGGTAAGGGATAGGTAAGGGATAGGTAAGGGATGGGTTCTGCATCGATTCAGGGTAGAAAAATAGAAGACTACAAAAAGTAGAGGAGCGCAGGCTGGGGTGTCTAAGGTGGCGGTCTGTCTAGGGGATGGTGTCAGAGTGGCCGGGAGGGGGAGGAGTCGGTTAAGGGTAGGAGCGCAGTTGCCAGAGGGAGGTGCTGCCCTGAGATCCGTCAGCAGGAGAGAGAGTACAGGGAGGCTATATATAGAGCGCGCCCGGGGCATCGATCGACGTACCCCTGAGCCTGGGAGTCCG